TAGTAATCAATGTATTCCTGCAGGGAAAAGATGTCACCATGGCAGTGACAGCACAGCTACAGCTGTGAAGGGATGGTGTGGGCTTAAAAATGTGCAGGCAAGATCAGCCCAGGGGCACCACACGATGACAGACACTGTTGATGAGATGGGGTAAACTGGCTCTGCCCAGCAGCTCCCCTGGGGTTTGTCAGGCCCAAGCTGAGCCAGGATTCCTTTCTAGCAGCCACTTTCGCACAGCAGCTCTGCTCTGGCTCCACATCACTGACCCTTGGTCCCTGTTCCTTCACCAAGATCCCCTGGGAGTAGAGGCAGCCACATGGATCAAGCACCAGCATCCACCCACCTGAATCTGGGATTTCTTCTTGCCAGGGGCTGGCTCATTGATGGGCATCTTGATGGTCTCCTCGTAGTTGGTGACCACGATGGAGCGCAGGGCGCTGAACTCGGTGTGCAGCTGCTTGTCATCCACTGACCAGAAGCGGTGGAAGAGCAGGTTCTTCTGGTACCTGCCCAGGTCACCAGGGCACAGTCAAGGCCTTGCTCCATCCCCACAGCAATGGAGCTGTGCTCTGGCTTCATCAGCCCTGGCAGGAGTGGTGAGACCAGCAGAGCTGTGCTGCTGCTCCATCCCACCCCCACCAGCTCTGCCCACCCTTACCAGTCTGCCACGGGGACCATCTGGAGGTCAGGCTGGTTCCCCACAACGTGATCAACAAAGCTGAGCTTGCCACTTGGTCTGTGGGGGGAGACAAGGGGGGTCTCAGCCAGGCTCAGGGGTTCCCACAGCTCAGGGGGCTGCAGGGCAAGGCAGTGGGGACCTGTCCAGCTCCTCAGTGGGATATCCCACCAGAACACGATGGCAGAGCCAGGCAGGAGCCTCTGGAAAGTACTCACAGCTTGGGCAGCAGGGGGTCCTTGAAGAGGGGTGGGTGGTACCCAGGGAGGAACAGGCCCTTGTAGTTGAGCTTCTCTATCAAGGTGTGGGTGGTGTCACCGTACTGTGAGGGGTTAAAGTGGTTGTGTTGTGGCTTTGTTTGTGCAGGGGCCTCCCAGGTGCAGGCAGCACCATGGCTCTGCCCTGCCACTCACCGTCTGGATCACTGCGAATTTCACCTTCCCAAATTTGTCCTGCTCCACCCACGGCTCCTTCACCACCACAGCACCGCGCTCCTTGGCTTTCTGGGCAGAAGGAGAGAGATCCTGTCCTGCCACAGCCCCCCCAGGCCAGGGGGAGACATCCCCAGGCCCTCCTGCCTCCCCTCACTGTTTTGGGGGCTGTGTGGGAGGGGGTGGAGGGGCTGCCCACCTGCACAATGAAGTCACAGTCCTCCACTTCAAAGGCCACGTCCTTCACGCCGTCCCCGTGCTTCACCAGGTGCTCCCCCATCTCTGCCCCGAGCAGGAACAGGCACAGGCGTGAGCAGAGCTGCTTTGTTCATTTCCCACTGCATCCCCCCAGTGACACCTACCCTCATTCCCTGGGTTCAGAGCGGACGAGAAAACAAACACGATCTGCCGAGGAAGAGGAGCAGAGGTGAGGATGGAGCCACGGGTGATGGTGCTCATGGTGGGTCTGACACCACCTCACCTTTCCCTGCCCTCTGTCAGGGGTTCCCTTACCTTGTCCTGCTTGATGACATGTGACACCACCTCCCTGCTGCCGGTCTCCAGCCCGCGGTAGGCCAGCTCCTCGAAGCCCAGCTTGTTGCAGTAGTAGGATGCAGCCTGTGGGCAGGGAAGAGTCCCTCTGGGTGAAGCTGTGGTGCTGGTGGCCCACAGGCCATGGAGAACAGCACCATGGCAGGTGCAAGTAACACTTATATGTGTGAGAACAGGCAGCAGCTTCTCTGCCTCCTCCAGCAGCCCAGGGGGAACAGGCAGAGGCAAGAAAGGGCCAGGATTGAGGAAAAGGCCCAAACTCAGTGGGGAGTGCTGCCTCCAGAACTTTCTGTGAGGGCCGCCATGGAGCAGGAGACATTTCTGGGTGTCCCCTGTTCTGTGAGGTTGCGTGAAAGCAGCCCAGGTGTGGAGAACAGGGGTGGGGGATGGAGACCAGGGCAAGGTTTGGAGATCAGCTGCCACGAGCCCACGCAGCTCTGCAGGCTGGTGGCCACAGCTGGGTTGGCCACGTGCCCTGGTCCATGTCCCTTGTCCCATGTCCCACCCCCAGGAGCCGCCCCTTGCCTTGCGCAAGGGCCACCAAGGCCACCAAGGCCACCGGTGCCAGGCCAGGGCCGGGCTTTGGGACACGGCACATCCCAGGCCAGGGGCTGCCGGGAGGAACCAACACCCCCTGGGCAGCCAATGCCTGCAGAGCCCGGCTTGTCCAGCGTGGGAGGTGTCCCCTGGCCTGGCTGTCCCCTGGCATGGCTGTCCCCTGGCCTGGCTGTCCCCTGGCATGGCTGTCCCCTGGCATGGCTGTCCCCTGGCATGGCTGTCCCCTGGCATGGCTGTCCCCTGGCATGGCTGTCCCCTGGCACGGCTGTCCCCTGGCACTGCTGTCCCCTGGCTCTGCTGTCCCCTCACACGTGTGCCTGGCGGCCACAGCCTCTCACCTGCTTGGCATTGCCGACCCAGAAGGTGATGGAGTGGAAGTGGATGAAGCGGCCTCGTTGGTGCTAAAAGGAAGGAAAACGGGGCTGGAAGCTGCTGCTGCTGCATTTCCTGCAGCACTGCTCGGCTCTGGAGCAGGAGGAAGCAGCAGCTGGGACCCTGAAAATGCATCTGCTGCAAAAGCATCTGAATTAACTGGTGGAACAGCCCCCAGAGGGTGATTTTCCAAAGTGCTTTACAGTCAAGTCCCACAGGATCCTGCACTGCAGGCTGGAAGGTACAAAGCACTGATTCACCTTTGCCCACAGCCACAGTCCCAGCTCTCCCAGTGCTCCCCACAAGTGGCCATCCCAGCGAGCTGCCCACCTGCAAACCTCACTGTGTTAAAGATTAATTCTTCCACAAAAGCTCTTACACAACTACCAGCACCAGGGCAGATCCCCTTTGCTCCGTTCCCCACCGCTGCCCAACCTGGCACAGGACACCCAGCACTGGAAACACTTCAAAAGTGAAAAAGGAGGCAAAAATTGCAGCATTTGGAAACAAATGTTGCATGGAATGAGGATTCTGCTTAAGGCTTGACTTGACTGGGAAATATCCATCATCTCCTCTTTGTCACTCTCCTCCCAAACCAGAAATTTCAATGATTAATACCAATTTAAAACGAGGATCTTGTGTGGCCCAGAGCAGTTTTACTTCTGATTTCAACAGGTAATCAAGGAATTGACACAATTTGCAGTAACATGACTGATGTTTCACACCAGGCAGAAGGGCAGGACAGGGACACAACTCTTACCTTTTCTCCTTTGTCTGTGTAGGATGTCTGAAAGAGAATGAGAAAAGAGAAACATTAGCGGGACAGGGAGGTACAGCAGCCCCCAGGGAGCTGAATCCAAAGGTCAGGCTGTGAGAGCAGCTCTGCTGTGCCACGTCCAGCACAGCCACTGGAAAACCCGAATTCAAGCAGAGCTTAAATCTCTGAAAGCGTCCCGTGCATGGATCCCCCGATGTCTGAATTAATTCCCATCTGTGCCCTCACCATTTTTGTGACCTGGCGATGTGATGGAAGCAAAGAGAGCTTCAGACCGGGGCGCTTTCAATATAACGGGACGGGGAGGC